AAATATTTTACAAAATTACTTTCAAACTATGTGTATAAGGGGTATATGAAACACAATAAAGTTATGTTTAGACTTAGGTCCCATCTCCAACATTTCTCATTATATTATATATGTAAAAGAACCAAAAAATGAAAACCCCTTGCAATCTAAAACATATCTGGCCCCAAGCATTTCAGATAAGGAAACTCCAAAATGTACTAGAATGAGGGAGAAAAGCCTGGCACTGCAATGAGAGAGACCATGTCAGAATGGGGTCAGCAAATCCAAGATTAGTCAGTGACACTGCCATTAATTATCTGGGTGACCTTCACTTAAGCTTTCTTGGTTTCAGTTACTTAAAGCAATCTGCAAGTGCCTTCTATTGAGTACATGGTAGGTCATGAAACAGAAATGATCAGTTCAGAAAGACCAAAAACAATTTAATTTTTATATGTATAATTTTTCTACTTCTTTATTTTGTTTTTATCCTTCCACTTAAATAGATTAGGTATAATTTAGTACATTCACAGTTTAGGAAGAGCTCAGATGCACATGATCAGGTGCAGTTAAGAAATAGAGAAAATAAATCCTCAAAGATTATTGGGAAAAAATGCTACAGAGATTGTGTCCAGCTAGTCATTGAGTACTGAATTATAGGCCAAGTGAGAGCCTTTGTAAATAGGCAGAAGAATACAGTCTTTAGAGCAATAGAGAAATAAAGCAGCAAGGAGAAGTAAAAGTCCAAGTGAACACAGACGGAAGGACAGAGAGAGATGTGGTGCTGGTTCCCTGCTGCTTTCTACCTCATACATCTCAAAAAATAAGGTAGAAAGAACATATTTCACTTATCTTAAAAAGTACATATGCATAAGTTTTATCACAAATCACTGGATAAGGCAATCTACTTGTAGAGCACACGAGGGAAATGAGATGTTATCCTTTTCTGGGAAATCTGAACTTTCCTAAATTAGTTTTTCTAGTGAAATTTAAAAATAAAATTGGTCTCATACTTACATATTTTCATGATATTATATATTTTCAGGGTTTTGTAAATTTTGTTTAAATGACTTTTCCAGAAGTTTCAAGTACTTTCCCAGTTAAACATCATAGCATTTCTACTTTCTTAAAGTAGAAGAATGTATATTCTTTCCTCCAGCTTAGGCAAATTAGATGAAATACATGGCTTTTAGTGAGAATACTCCTGTTTACCTGATCCAGGCCTGTCTTCTTTGAATTTCCCATCCTGGTAATAAGAATTCTTTGAAGTTCCTTGACTAAGTGATGCCTTCTCATGCATAACATTTTAACTATTTTCAACTTTCAGTTAGCTGAAATATTTTTTCTCCTCCTTTTCAGCAACACACCCACCCATACACTCTTCAAAGGTTCCCCTGACAGTTCCTGCCCCTCTCTCTACCAACAGGTCATACTAGATAGTCTAAGTATTATTCCCAAATAATTTTATATATATTAGCATAAAATTGATTATCTCTTTGTGTTAATTATCTCTTGTGATTGATTATCTCTCTGTGTTCTAGCCATCTAAACCAGGAACTATGATTTCCTTGTTGAAAATCCTTTAACGTAGATAACCAACTATCCATATCCACACAGTATGCAATTTTCTACTTGTGACATTATGTTGGTGCTCAAAATTTTTCAGATTTTAGAGTATTTCAGATTAGGAAGGTTCAACATGTATTGGAAACTCCATTTCTCAATGAATATGCAAAACCCTGAGTAAGTAATAAAATGTGGTCTGAGAAGACTTTAATTTGTTCTTACCCCGTAACAAGTACAACACAATAAAAAAAAAAAAATCAAATGCTGATTGAACTGTACAATCAGTACAAAATTTGAAAAGGGCAAAGAAATCATATCATACCTCACACCTCTAAAAATACCTTTTCTGAAGATGACAGTGACTTAGAATAATATGAAACAAAGAAATGTTCCCACATTATCCTATTGATTATAATCTTTAATTAGAACACATGTCAATAGTTTATCTCTTTTTAAATATCTATAGGTATCAGACAAACATCAAAGGCATAGCCCCAAATAAAATAATTTTTACAAAACAGTTTATCAGTGATAAACCATGAATGTCAAATTTGTAAAACTGTCATAAGTGTCATAAGGGCAAAAATTGATCAGTGTATTTGAAATAGTCATATAAAATACAAGTACAATACAAAACTGCACATTGGTTTATAGAATAATTATAAAGAACATGAAGCTGATTAAAACTAAATGAAAATACAAGTCATCCAGGAATCCTCAAACTATAAAGGGAAAGGGAAATTGTTGCAACTAAGAATTATATCAATTTAAGAATATTTCCTGAAAGTGAAACTCACAAGAACAAATGCAGTTATTTCTTAACGTAATTATACATTTTTACTTTATAATTGTCATACTTGTCATATTTGTTTTTCTATAACAAAACACTGCTATGCTCTCACAGTAATAGAAATAGGAAAGTTAGAAAAGTTATGTTTCCCCAAAGTTAGAGAGACTATATTTGAGATACACAATATTTGGGCGAGACAATTATAAATATTTTCAAGTACTGAACTCTAGTGCCCTCTAATCAGTAACAGAACAGATATGTAAGTTCTTAAAAGGTTTTACTTGAATTTATTGAACAAACTATAATTCAGAGACATGCATTTATTTTAGTAATATTTTGGAATGTCAAAAATGGGGTTTAGTGCTTTTTTTTGCTCATTATCTGAAAAGAAAGTTTTGATTATGTTTTATATTTTAATTAATTTCAGAAATACTTTATAAAAATTCTTCCAAATAGGAAAGTAACTTTTGACTATAGTAATTACTACATATTTTTATTTGATAATATGACTTGAATGTTTCTTTTAACTATAAATAAGCAGAATTTTCTTCCATTGCAATTACTACTACTGTCAGAGAAACAGTTCTACAGGCTGGCCATAGCAACAGGTCCTATAACACAACACAAAGAATGATTTATTTTCTCATTATAATACTATGTATTGGTGAGGCACTACAGTGAAAAGAAAACAACAAGTTGATCTAAAAGAGAATTTACAGAGGTTTAAAGAAAAAGATCAATAGCTGAAGATTCATCTGTTTCTCATGTTTAACAAGAGAAATAAAAGATAGTTTAGAAAAATTCAATGGGGGTGGTAATAGAAAAATATTAGACTGTTATTATTATAAAGTGGTTAGTGAGGAAAAATCGTATCAAATGTTTTAAAAACTAGAAATATATTTTTATAGGAATGAAGATTAAAAAAAGCTACTCTGCCAAGTACAACAGATTTGGGCTTGTGTGTTACTGCTTCTCACATATGAATAATCAGTTACTGATTCTCTGTAGCTGATTCTGGAATCCTCAGCACGAGAGCTACACCTGAAACCTATGCATCAAACCAGCTCTCAGTGACATGTTCATGATGTTCAGTCAGAAAACCTTCACAGTAGGCAAAAGTTCCAGGTCTATGCATAACCCATGGGCATTTGTGGTCAAGCAAAGGTTGACTTACAAAAACCTTTGAAAAATCTTAAAAAGTCAAATGGAAAACATTACAGCAGATGATGCTATGATTTAGTGCAAAGAATACATTTTTTAAAACTACCATTTGTAACCGAAAATGGTTTTAACACTAATGATTAAAAAACAAATCATCTATTTGTTTAAAAAAAAAAAAAGGGATCATTACAAATAGCAAGGAACTGAAACGAAGGTTCCCTCAAAGGCAATGCACTAAAAATTAAAGAATATTATTGATAACTGATATATGCAATACTCTCGCTAATGCACATTTGTTAAGGCTTAAAGTCAGAGATTGCCTAATAAATAACAAGACAAAATGAGTAACCAAAGCATTTGATGCAGTATGTGATAGAAAAAAAGACCTTAATATCTCAACAAACTCTTTATGTTAATGCAATTTAAAACAAAGTTTATCCCTTATAAAATTAAATACAATTTGTATATGAATTAAAATGCTTTTTTAAGTATTCAAAAATAAAGCTCTTACAAGTTGATATAGTTTATATTTATAGAAAATGAAACCGAAATACAATGACGATGGCTGCTTTAGTTGTCTTAACTTCCAGGAAAACAATAACTTCACTGCAATGCATTTTAAGATATATGTAAATGTTGAACTGCATTTGAAAAGTAGGTCATAGTTTCATTTGCAGAACTAAAGAGTAAGCAAATTGTTTTGGGAAAGAATATCCATTGAGGTCAAACAAGCATACAGTAAAGGTGAAAATAACTTTGTTTTGCTGTAACCAGGTATTATGCAATGTTACAAGAATGTCAGGTCAAAGGTCACATAATGAAAAACCTCACAAAAAGTGTACTTCAGTAATTAAACCAGTTTGAGTAGTCTACAATAGCTTAATCTGACATACACCCTGCTCTAGTATTATCAGTACAATGCACTGTTTCCAGTGAATGCAAACTGCACCTTAGTCATATTTAGGTGTAATATTAATTTTCTTATAGATTTCTAGTTGCAGTGACAGTCAGGAGAAAAAGACTACAACCAACTAAAAACCAAAAACCTGTAAAACATAAGACACTATACATAATCACAGAATGTTTTCTCAAATCTCCTTTGAAATAGTCTAATTAGTATGCTAAAAACTCTTTCCCTGGGCCACATGCACTGTCATTCATTATTGTTTTATTATACTGTTACATGATTTTGAAGAGTGAGAATAAGCAACACAGGAACAGCTTATTATAAGGTTGTAGTTTCTTAACATTCAATGTCCAGTTATTATTATTCATGATTACAAGAAAAATCTTAAGAGGTAAGATATAGTATAATTAGGTACTTACCTCAAGTAAGAAGAAAGTGTATGTTTCTGGCAACTAGTAAAGAATATTTTCACACAAAATGTAAAAACCACCATGAAAATATGTTGTATAATACATATTTACTGCTACATTATAGCAAATAAACCATTTTCTAGCACTCTACTAAAGAAGGTGAAAAATGCTTTATAAATATTCTCCTTACCTGTGAATACAGTTTTTACTCTCGAGATAAAACATACCAGCAGCAACGTCTAAGCAAAAAGTCACTAACTGCTGAAGTTTTAGTTCATCTTTCTTCTTTCTCAAAAAGGTGAGGAAATCACCTCCTAGAGGAATCAACAAAACAATGAGAGAAATTTATGATGAAACTTGCCATTACTGCCTGTTAGGAATATCTGACAAAATAAAAGGTGTTACAAAAAGCCATGCCTTTTGCCTCCATTTGTTTCAGCTGGGGACAAAATGAAGCATGAAAAGAATATGTCTGGATAGAAAGCAGACACCATAAACTTTTCTAGATTCTGCAAAGGTACTTTAAGTGCCTTACACTGCACATTACCCAAGGTATAATAATATCCAATCAAAGCCATACTTGCTCCCAAGCCAGATTTTCACCAATATGTTCAACTAAAATCATCTAAAGGATTTGATTTTCCCTAACACTAAATAAAGACAACAAACATTCTGAGTTAAAAAGTAAATGATATTCTTAGTTACTAGATTCAGTGATTAATTAAAACTTGCAAGTATTGACACCACCATCTCTGTAATACTAGACAAAAAAACCCGTTACCATTTTGATAAGGTTTAGTCATTGGTTATAACTGCATTTCTGTATATTTAACACTCTAGCTATATCATAGAAAAACTTAAGACACCATGGTCCAAAACGAATACAATACAATCTAGATAGTAATTTAAAATGTATCGCTAGCCACATTTTATAATGTTAAAAAAGCAAAACTGATTTTAAAATTATATTTTCTTTACCCCAATATAGTCGAAATATTTTGTATTGACATGCATCAACTTAAAAATTATACCTGAGATATTTTACTTCTTTATCATACTAACCCTCTGGAGTATACTGATTTATTATTATAACTATATCTTAATTTAAATATAAATCTTCTTCTTAAATATTTGATACGTATTTAAATTTTATAAAACAATTGAACAGATTGATATACCTCAAGTTGTTCTAAACACACTTAAAACTTTCCACTAACAAAATCAAGGGTCAGTTTTAAAATTTAAACCAATAAAATTTAAAATTTAGAAATACTAACCACATTTCTATAGCTTGAGACCCATCTACAGCCAGTGACTACCATATTAAATAGTTCAGCCTTAAAATTTACATTCATTCTTAATACCATTAAAAGCTGTCGTTTACTATGTGGTTTACTATGTTTCCTGTTAAGTATAGTTTCTTGCAGTACCCGGAAGTTAAATGTTAGAATGGAATACATTTTATTTAATAACAATTTTTTACATTTTCTCTGTTAGACTCCCAGATGTTAAACAGGAGTTGTGTAAGGGAGATAAGCATTTTAACTGTCATTTTCTAAACTTATTTACCCTCTTTAGCAGGGATCTGTGTTTTTTTATATAGAAAACTCTGGAGGTGAAGACTTACTAGCTTTCTTAAATGAGAATACTTGTATAATAAATATCTTATCTTTCAAAATATTCATTTTTCTAACATCTTATCTTACAAACCAAGTGTTATACAAATTTGGCTGGCCCACTTATAAAATCAATATGCTTTTGCCTAAAGAATAAGCTTAATGATGTTAGACCATTTTTTCTATTCATTTTATAAGAATACCAAGCGTATTAAATTACTGGATGATTTACTAAAAGTTTCTATCAAGCTTAAAGATCTGAACAAAACATATCATATTAAAATAAGTAATCATAAACTTTGCAACTTTAGTAACTATCAAAAATGTTCACTAAAATGGATTTATAAGCAATATGTAGTTCAAGATACCCCTTTGGACCAATAGTTACATATCAATTCTTTTGTTAGATAAATGTTTGCCTGTTTTAGAAAAACTTCAACATTCTGGTTTTCAAACTACACGGCACTGTTTTTAAGTGATAAAATTACTTTCAGATGAAAAGATTTGTTCTGCAATTTGTTTAAAATGAACATGTAACTTCGATGGAACCCTGATAGTATTTCTTTTTAAAGTTAGCTTATACTTAGAACTTTCATGAGGCTAATGCCCTTTCAAAATTTACTTCTTCAATTTGCACTACTACCTGCCTCTCTGAATCGCAAACAGTACCTCTGCAAACTGTCCTCTCTGTTGTTCAATATTTTGTTAATAAATTCTGCTTAGTATCTAAATTACTGTTTAACAAAGAAGTTCTTTAGCAAATTATTAAATATCTCTGATTAACAATATATTCATAAAAAACATTTAAGCAGCATTTAGAGTTGGGTAAAAATGATGTTCTCTCAATAAGGTAAAGGAAGCACCAGCAATTTAAAGACAAGGACCTATTTCAAAATAGCGTGAGACACAGAAGAGATTTCTAGTTATTTTAAAAATCCAGTGAAAATTCTGCTTTAGAAAAAATTTCTTCCTTAAAATATTTAAATCTAGGGGCACAATTTTTAAATTTGTTACCAATTTTTAGTTATTGGAGGCACAAGATAGTGATCTTAAGTCAAGGAGCAGAGCTGCCTATTTCCCTAAGCCAAGCCAGCTGCAGAAAACTAGCTAAACAGAGGTGTCTGGTAAATCTTAGCTAATTTTGATTCAGGCATGAAAGTCTGAACTTTGTGCAAATATAACCAGTAAGAACCCCAAAGAAAGATGTAAACTCCCCAAGGGCAGAGGCCTAAAGCTAAGAACTAAAGATATGCAGAAAACAATTTAGACTAGTTAGAAATAGTCCTTAAAACACAATACTTGATTATAAACCTTAACCAGAGACTGATGAACCAGAGACTAGTAGATGATGCATGCATTTCAAATTACTGAAAGGTTAGTTTAGAAGGCAAGTCCTGTGTCTTTCAACCAGTTCTTTTGTCATTTTCTTAGTAGCCAACTTGAAACCCTCTCAGAATTTGTCATATATACTTTATCAAATATGTAGCACATACTATACATGTGTCAGCTACACATGTAGCTGATGCATATGGTGTAGATTACCTACTTAACCACTGCAGTAAGGACCTTATGCTTAAAGGGGATGCAAGGAGACAAATAACTTTCCTTTATAATTCTACCTTAACAAAACTTATTTCTGTGTAGGAGTGCTGCACATTAAACCAAGAGAGAATAGAACATAAAATTTTCTAAAATTCTACAGCAATGATGATTTTCTAAGATAATATATTTTTAACAGCTAAGTTTTGGTTTACTATGGACATGTCCTAATAATGGTGAAAATAGTATAAACACACTGACCTAGGCCTTGGTAATTTTCTAATGTTTTTAAACTTCTGTACAACAAGAATTTAGTATCACTTATCAGATAGTTTTGAAAACTAAAAGAATCTACGGCTCTAAGCATTTGTCTAGCATGTAATACTTACTACTATCAAAATTATTTTACATTTAAAAAAGAGTCACCACAGTGTCCTTTGGAAGACTGTGTTTCTCCACTTCGTATTAACTTCATCCCCAAGCTTGTATTAGTTGAGGGTGGCTTAACTAAACCAATGAAGTCCATCTTCCTTTCCAAGTGATTGGTCCAGGGACAGGCACATGGCTTAATTCAGGCCCCTGAAGCAAAGAGATGCTGGAAAGGTGAAACAAACTTTGTACTTTTTTTTTTTTTTTTTTGGTCTTTTTCCTTTTCATCGGTACCAGGGATCAAACTCACGACTGCCTGCTTGCAAGGCAGGCGCTTATGCCGCTGAGCTAAATCCCCAGCCCCCAAACTTTGTACTTTTGAGAGAATAGGAACAAAGTGCACTGGAAGAGACAATACATAATACTGCAAAGACTGGCAGTGTTAGGATGAAAGTATCTGAAAGGCATCATAAGATGTTTTTATGGCAAGCAGAAGACAGTGTAAAATAGACAGTAGCTTTGCTGACACACTGGAGTCACTGGATTATATACTGTATATAGAGATTTAAGTGAACTTAATAAAAATTACTAGCATTATGAAATGTATCTTATATACTACCAAAACAAAGATACTTAATGAACACAATAATATTTACTTTGAAGTTATTTTGAGAATTAAAAAATTAAATCTTTACAACAATCAGGAATTTCAATAAAAAAGTCATTATTTGCAGCCAATTTCAAATAAGAGAGCTAAGCTTACTATTTTCAATAGTTCCTTAAAATTCTTGTTACTCCATGCTATAAAGACGTGATCTTATTTATTAATGGTTCTCTGAGGAACTGGTCATAATTAATACAACTCATCATTAATGGGGCTCTGAGGAACTAATCATACTTAACACAACTCAGAGATTATTATGTAAACAAGAATATTAATGTATCAATTTATAAATGAGAAAAAGGGATCCTAAGAGTAATACCTCTAATGACTTACTGTTGAATCAAAGGGATCTTCATTTAGCTTGAAACAACTTTAAAGTTTATTAAATTAAGAGATACTAGTCTCTAGTGATATGTAAAATATGTAATTCTTTACTCTTGTTTTTAAGATATTAATTTGTTTCCTCAGAATTCTATTTTGCTTAATTATGCTCAATTATTTATTTAAAAATAAACTAGTACTTACAGTAAACATTAAATTAAAGAGAGCTATTTTGGGGGCTCCATTTAAGTAACTGTTCAGAATTCTCCTTTATTTTTGAAAAACATTTTTTTTTTTTATTCTGTAACCACCAATGATCAGAATTATGGTCACTTGCCAGCCCATCAAAAATCAGGATGAAAAAATATATACATGACAAGCATAAACAGTGAATGCTAACTCAAACTGTATTCTAAGAAACAATGGATTTTACGTTAGAGATGTAACTCTAAAAGTTTAGGTCTTCAAAGACGCAGTGATAAGGCAGAAATGTGTTAGTTTATGGGGGAAAGATAAGGAAGATAAATGATGTAAAAGTGAAAATCACTACAAGAATATACTATACTTGTATCCCCAAATCTATTTTTCACTCTCTAAGGAAGCACTTACAGCTCAGCTTGCTACCTAAGAAGCAGAACTCAGTCAAAATGCAGAGCTGAGTGTGTGGATATCCCATGTGTGGTAGAGATCTTTTCAGATAAGGTTCCTTAATGGCCATGTTCCACCAACACTGCCAAATGGCAAGAGATTTTTGGGTTTCTTCATTGCAGGTGCTATCTGAGAACATAATCTGAGAGTAGGTAAG